TATGCAAATTAAAGCTGCAGCTACCGTAAGGCAAAAATAACCACACTTTTAATTGTACTTATTACCATTAACTAAAATATGAAATCTTTTACATAGGAAGAAATCTTGGTAACAAGAACCCTAGAATAGTTTGTCCTTCTCTGTATGTTTTCCTGCAGAAGTGGTCATATATAACCTAAACATTCTGCTACATCAGCTACTTGATGGTATGGACATTTAATTCCTTTGACTTATAAAAAAGAAAGTAGCAAGTTCATTTTGTTTTCACCAGTTTTGAGTTCTGGGTAATAGCAGGATTCGTGTAAGAGCGTGGTGCTGGATCCAGGTGCCGTGATGCGCTGGCATCTGAATGGGATCTGCTGCAATTCCTCAATTCCTGCTCTCCCATTGTTTTCCCAGGAAAACCAACATGTTCATGCATCTGGGATTTTGCAGAGCCTCCTCTCAAGGCATACTTGGGTCTGCGTCTGCGTTTTAAGTACCAAGGCAAAACTTCACTCTGCCTGGCAGGTGATTTCCTCGCTTCAGGAGTTTAGAGAGGTAGGGAGTCCTACCTGCTCAGGACTTCCTCACCAGCAGTGGTATGTAAGTACGCAGTGGATGAAATGGGTGGGAAGCTGGTGCTGCAGCAATGTTTGCCTTTGATGTACCTCTCAGCTTGCCTAGGAGCTGCTGCTGAATTTAGTGCAGTTTAGGGAAATGACATTGGGTCTCCTTCAGCTGGTGTCTGACAGCTTTCTCTTCTCACTGTCTTCTCCTAACTGTGGGTTAGGGCTGTATGTTTGTGCAGGACTGGAATTTTCCTGTTGTTTTTCTCTTCTGCATATTCCAGTTCTCATTAATTCACATCATTGCTCTAGAACTGACCAGATATGCTGATGGAAATGAACTTTACGAGCAGATAAGGAAATGTATTCCCATTGGACTTCTTAAAAACATTTAAGGGAGGATGCAATTACAATAAATGCTTCCAGTTTTGTTTTGTTTTCATTTTTTTATTCTGCAGCCTTCACTTTGATGTTTATCAGTCTTAAATCCTACAGTAATGCCCTGTTAAACATCTGTTTATTTCTAAAGGCTCCCTCCCTGTAACAAGATGCTCTCTTCTTTTTAGCCTTGAATCTTTTATACTTCTACGCAGAATTTCTGGCATAAATATTCAATGTTTACTGAAACAGTTGAGGAAAACCAGGCCTAAGACACAGAGCAATGGAGGGAATGGTACCAGCATGACCCCAGGCGCAGGCATGCGATTGAAATCCATGTGCCTGTTCAGTCACTGTCCAAGGCAGCTTTCAGTGCCATCTAACAAGTAGGGGAAGTCACCTCTGGGCATTGAGGAAAACCATGAAATCCTTGCAGAAACCTGCAGGTGGTGGTGGGATTGTCATTGTCAGCCTGGGAGGTGTGAAGTCGGAGCCATCCCAGCGAGATGTTAGCGCTCTGCTGGGAGCACGGCCACCGTGTGCTGGGAAACGTGCCGTTCCTATGAGGAGCCGGCGCTGGACGGGGAAGAGTTTCCCTTCTGCACAACCAAGGCATATGAAGCACCAAAGCCCTTCATTTTGTTATCTCTAACAGTAACGACTCTCCTCCCTAAAGTGAAGTAGGGATTGTGGGGCTGGCAATCTCTCGTTTGCTGTGTGCGGCCTGTCCTCTGCTGGGCTCTGCGGGAATGGCACCCACTGGGGCGTGGAGACTCAGACTGCTCCGAGTCTGAAGTTTTTGCTTTTTTTTTTTCCACTCTTTTCCCTGTTTTCCCTCTTCTTCCTTTCCCTCTTCTTTTCCCCCTTGCCTGTCTCATCTCTTCTCCTTTTCCCTAGTACACGAGAAGTTAAAACTTATGAGATGTTCTAACAAATCCGGGAAAACGCAGTTTTGCAATTGCAAATGCAACAATGGTGACTGTCTTTAATCTTTGCCTATTGCCACAACTGAATTAATTAACCCATCTGATCTAAAGATGGCTTCATCTAAGATCACTGCGGGTCCACCTCAAGCTATCCTCTGCCAGATCTCCCTGTGTTTGTGCTCTGCCTCTTCTACAGCTCCACTCCATGGCTTTGTCTCTGCTGAACTCAGGTGTAGGCAGAACGGGGACAGCCTGCAAGGCCTGGTACCCCCTTGTCTGCAGATGATAAGCATAACCTCAGCAGCATGATAAGCAGTGGTGAAGGCAACTTTCACTTTTGGTTGTTTTTTTTTTTTTTTTTTTTTTTTTTTTTTTTTTCAAATAGAAAAGCTGGCTTTGAAATGAAGTCTTGCAAACGTTCTACAACTTCAGAGAGTGAATGTGTATGCATGTGCCAAATTCCAGTGGTTAAAATAAAAGAGCTTTCTGTGATTGCAGGCCTGGCACATTGCTCCAGCACTGTGCATCTGTGGTGGCAATGCATTCACAGAACTCTTTTTGAATGGAACATAACAAGTCATGCTGTAATGCTGTCCATAGCAATGCAGTGCAGTCATTTTATATTCAAGTAGACACTCAGAATGCTCTGCAGAGTTCTGTCCTGGCTGCTGGCATATCTACCAGAGAAGTTGGCTGGTAAAGCCTCAGGCTTTCATCTGTAATACTTTGGTTTAGCTGTTGTAAACATAAATGTTTCAAAAGTTAACCCCACTCCAGAGGTCTTATGACGTTGTTTGTAGAATATTTTAAATGTTGTCTACTCTATAAGAATAAAAACTCAGCTTTTACTGTCTCTCCTTTTATAAATGTTTTCTTCCTTGTTGCTTGTTTCCTGTTGATGTAATAAAGATGTTTCTTATTTATGAGCTCCATTATGAAGCTTCCCTTAAGAGCACCAACTCAAGGAAAATAATCTGCACTGGTTAGAGCATTAGCTGTCCTGCCCCTTTCTCTTGGGAACCGTCTCTGGCTCCTTTCACAGACATGTCCAATTTCTCACAATAAAGGCTGCTGCTTTAAAAATTTACAAGTTTTTTTCTTGCCACGTGCAAGCTCTTCTTTCTCATCAAGCCCCCTAATTTGCAGCGCCAGCCAAGTGGCTGATGAGAAATAAGGATTAACCACAAAGAAATTGACTGATTTGGGTTTGTTTTTTTTTTTTTCCACCTTCAGTAATAGACTTTCAAAACACCTTAACCATTCTACAGATAACTGCACCAACTTAGGACTCAACACTTGGTACCAAATAGCTGCCTGTCATTGCTGAGTGGACATGTACCCTGAACTTCATGGAAATGATGAGAACATCTCATATTCTTCATCAACTATTCACATAATTGAAAGGACGCTTACAAAACATATTTCATGTAACAGATCTGAAATACAACAGTTCCTCCAGAGCTCTATGTTAAGTTGTGCAGGCATGATGGTATCCAAAATAGGCGTGCTGTATGTGCTAACTTACAGAAGGGCTTTTTGTGAGTAGATCTGGAGTAGTTAATATAAATAATATTCTAGGATACCCAGATTAACAGAGTTGTTTGTATACTGCTGATTTTGTGGTAAGTGCTTGTGTAAAAGCTTGTTTTATGCCCAGTGAGCTTTGCACCAGGATGTTTGGAGTGGAGTGGGTACTTCACTGTTTGATGTAATAAAAGAGATTTTCTTCATGTATACCCCTTCCTGTTAGCTAGAGCAATATTAACATTACTTCTTTCAACTGTGCTACATGAGAACTGGTATGCATTTCATAAAGGAAAAAAGGCCTATAAAAATGATAAGAAATAATTAGTTATTTCAACGTGGATTTGGAATTGTATGAAACATACAAGAGCTGTTCTGAAAGTATTGCCCCCTGTTTCATTACGCTGGTCCTTGAAGTTAGAGGTGGATGTTGGTGGTAGGCAGTAGGGACTGAACCTTGCTGCCAATGTTATGTTTTGTTGCTGTGCAGCAGATGGCAGCAGAGGGGCAGCTTGAGAACGTGCACCTACTGGTGGTGGCCGTTGAAAAACAATGTTTTGTAGCTGAGAATTTGCACTATCAGAGAGCGTTACTGTGATCTTTGCATCTGTTGTAGTCTCTATAGAAGTAAATAGGAGGCATTATTTTCGGAACAACTTATTACTTATTACAACTTATTAGTCCTCTTTCAGGATGTTGTATTTAACAAACAACATAAAAATAGTTCGTCAGTCATCAGTGAAATTAACACTATTATCTGGCCATTACTATATAAAGGTTAATTTTAGACTTATTGTACAGGCATTCAGTACTACTAAAGTGGAACTGAAAGGGGAAAATTGATAGCCAGTTTTGTAATTTGTACTTTGAGTCATACTGAACACAAACAGCCAGAAGACAATGGGAAGGATGTTATTTGCATCGCACCTTGGAAAGCTCTATCAAGCAGATAAGATGCTCTTTGTTTCAAGAAGCCTTTGAACGGAAGCCTGGAGCTGCGTTAGCCCTTCGTGAAACAGGACAAAGAGCTGCACGTACAAACTCACAGGAATTCTTAATAGAAGCAGTAACAACCGGTGCATAGCACAATTTGGTTTTGATTTTCTGGAGAGAATTTAATCAAATCATAGTTTTCATGTAGTAGGACCATCTAGTTTTTAGATAGTGGGACAGTCACCACCGCATTCCGTCATTTCTTCACGCAGGCAAACATGATACGTTCCTTTCAATTAGTTTATATAGTATTTAAATCCTAAACTACTCCTAATGTTTACGTTATGAGTAGTTTCAGAGAAGGTATCATTTCCTGTAAACCAGCCAACTTTCTGAGCTGACCCATGGGAGCGGGTTGTTGGGGAAGAGTTGCTCTTTGATAACCAGCTCTAGGACACAGAATTGCTACAAGAAGTTCTTTCTAAAGTGATATTCACTGAGCATGAGAGTGGTAGCTTTCTGCTTCTCCCAGGCTGCAGCAGCGGTAAATGAATATTTATCTCTCTTCCACCAATACAGGGCTGAGCCTGAAGCATTATATTTAAATCTGAATTTGGGGTAGGTCAGATTTCCTGTCAGGATATTGCTTTATGGTAACCTTTATCACATTCTTTCTTCTGCAGAATTACAAAAGGGTAACAAAGGCAGCAGAAAAGGCAAGGAACTGGAAGGAGCTGGCCCAAGTGGACCAGCGCTGCATGATTTCAGCCAGTGTTGAATTACGGAGGAGTCACAATCTAACGTGTGATTTGTGCTGACAGGAAGAGCTGCGCAGAGCTGCCAGCGCTTTTATTGTGGTAAGTGCATGCTTTTGATTCATCACAAAAGGGTTTGGGTCAGTTTTTGGGCATGGCAAATAAAATCAATCATTTTTATTGTATCTGCTCCAGTTCATTCGTCTCCCATGGCAAACTTACTGAAGCAGTAAAGTTGAAATATCAGTTGCAGATCAAAAAATGCAATAGTAGCAACGGCTCTAAAATAATGTCCATTTGGGTTTGTGGTTTTTTTTCTGCTTGTTTTGTTTTTGAAAACCTGTTTTGCCATTCTACCCATGGTCTCAGGAAGAGCATGTATTGTAATAGAGAACCAAAATTAAACAGGAATCTTTTTAACAAGTGGTAATTGATAAGAAAGCTGATGGAGCTCAGTGTAATTCTCAGGAGCGTCAGAATAGTCATATGCCTCTACAGCAGGTTTTGCATCCCTATGAGGAAATCAGACGAGACTGAAGAATTTAGATTGTTGGATTTTTTTTTTTCATACTAATTTAAACAAGCCTGGTAAGCTTGCAGAATAAGACTGGTGAGGCAGTGAATCAGAGATAACGCCTATGTATCTGACACAGAACAAAATCCTCAAACTGTGTAAGCATGCAGAATTGTCTGCTGCTTCATACATCTCCTCTGCAGTCTCTGCTAAGGCTTGGATTCTATGTGAAATCATGAGACCAGATAACCCTTCCAAACTTCATTTTGCATATTACAGTAAACCTGGGTGTTCTGAATCTGTTCTGAAGGCACCAACTTCTGAGGTCTAAATAGGTGTTACCTAAAGACACCTCGTTATCACTATGGACTTCTTCCTTTCCCTTATATTGTATTGTATTATTGTTTTATATTCTGTCTATTTTACCTTTATTATGCAAAGTAGAAAACATCTTCTCTGTCCAAAGCAGAACATGATCTAGTTTATTGTGTTCTTTTCAATAATAAATACCTCCACTTCTTTAACTTCAGGCAGACTGATCCAGCTCTGTATCCTTTTTGTTTCCATTCTCCTGTTTCCAAAACCGCTCCAGTCATGTAAGGTTTTGTTGTTTTGAGATAGAATAGCTATCAGTTCTCTGTAATTGTCTGTGATATTTCAGGGGATGTATTGATTACACAGGTGTAGATAAACTATAGTTGCCTTTTATTTACTCATTCTGTTCATAGGTATTTGAACATTTCAAAAAAATACCTGCACATCAGATAGAAAATTTTAATTGAGCTATTTGCAGCTTGTTCTCCTTTATATGTGTGTTAAATATATATATATATATATATATAAGATAGATATATATGAGAAACATAAAAACTTATAAGCTTTGCAAACAATTCTTTCCTCTGAATGACTGTACATTCAACAATCTCAGCTGAATTATTTGCTCTACAAGTCTGCCTGGCTGGGAGGCAGAAGGAAGCTATCACTGAGGAATCATTTCCAGTTTAGCCACTGTTAAACATCGTGAGAACTTCAGACCTTAAAGGGAAAACCAAGCTGTTTTGTTTTGGGGCTGGTTCTGGCTTTTTTCATGAGATGAAAGTGTCTCACATCTAAGCAGATTACATTTACCTCAAAAGTAGAATATCAAGTTCAAAATATGTATACGCAATAGTTTTAAATACTGCACTGCTTTAAATACTGTGAGTTTACTGTGGTGATAATTGCTATAGTAAGCACTTCTACTGGTGAGATTCCTTAAATGTAATTTAACAGTGTATGAGAACCCCAAATTTCTCAGATGTGATGTTGTATCACATAGACATTGGTTTTCTGCATTAGGTCTTAAATCTACATTTCCTTACAAGGTAAAATCAGAAAAAGCTGATGTTTTTACTACTACATGGTGGTGTTTATACTTAATGACACCTATAGTATTGCCAGCCATGTAGCAAAGACTTCAGGGACTAAGTCAGAATTAGTTTATTTTTCATTTCCTATATGCACAAGAGCGGTGAAAGTGTATATAAGGAAAAAGGGAGAAAAAAAGAAGCTCAAACAGGCTTTGTTCATTTGACGAGCACTCAGGGATGACTCTAAAAAGTGGTTCTGAGAATCTTCCAAGAGCCTTCTAGAGAATATTGTAGCTCTGAGTCTTTGGGGTCTATGTTTTGGGAGTGGAGGTAATGGATGCTGTTGTACTGACTTGCATTAGGAAGTTCACTGACATGCCCTTGTAAACATTTCTACCACCATGAAATCCATAGGCAAGGGGAAAAAAGCATTAAAATCTGATTACTAGTTTTCTGCTAGGGAGAAGAAAGGGATGCAAACATCTTTTGACAAAAGTCTTAATTCATGCCTGCAATACAGACAGAGTCAAATGCAGAGAATGTAAAGCACCTTACATCATACTAAATATGAAGCATGATGAAAACTCAAAAGCAGTTATAGTGCTGACTGAAGAAACCAAATCTTTGCAACTCTGCGTTGCAACAAGCAGACATATAGAGCCTTAGGATATCACAAAAGGCAACATATTCCAAAGGCAGCCTGATCCAGAAGTACTGAAATAATGAAATCCATTGATTTGAAGGGCTTTATAGACTTTCAAAGGCTGCGGGTCAAATCTGAACAGACATCAGCTCTTGTCTTCAAACCCTAGTGCCCTTTTTGCATCAAGCAGGACCCTCTTTCAATAAGAATTTCCTAAATGGCAATGCTCCAGCACAGTGCCAGGTACTGGTGCATAATGTTCAAAGCAGAACCAAACCTTAAATTAGTTGAAGAACACATATGAAACTTGAAACTTCTGGTAACACTGAAGTAAGTCTTCCATCTTACAAATTTCAGGCCAGGATAATGAACGTGGCTCACAGGCTGCTTTTGCAAAGAGATTTTCCCTCCCCTCTCCTGGGAGGGCTCACATTTGACGATCATTTCCAAACAAGCATCTTTCCAAGCAGAAATGTTTCTCATTCTTTCCTCCCTTTAATAAAAAGTTGAGGAATATTCTCCACTTAACTGTAATCACCTGAAAATCTAACAAATATCATGACAGCATGATGTGGTATCCATGCAATAATACATTACATTCACTAGTACAGGACATTAAGTTTTTGCCACTGTTGATGTATTTGGAACAAGTTCCTTGAATAATGAGTGTGCACAGAATCTTGGAAGTAAATTTATCAATCCATCTTCATTAAATAGTATTTTTATTTACAGCAGCTTTCTATCCAGCATATTTTAAACGGATTCTGTCCAAATAGTTTAGAAAGAAAATTACAAAACCCTTAATTAAAATCATGCCCATAGGAAAACGAGTAACAAGTTGTTCGCAAATGTAAGCGTGCTGCAGCTGTCTAGGATCAATGTTACAGCATAGAAAAAGCTGACTAACAAAGCTCAGAGGTGTTCAGATTGGACAATGAGGAAAGGTTATTTGGTTTAGGAATCTTAAAGCGTGGGTCTTGACTAATATGTCAGTGAGAATTTTGTTATTCACTTGTACAGATGTAAACTCACTGCTTCATTGTATTACTGCTAGTACCAGTTATGAAAAAATGAAAGCATGATTTTCTGGTTCTGTTCTCCAGACTGTGTGAGACATGAACAAATCCACATAAAAGGAGTAATTGTTAAATACTTATTTATAGATAAAAGCAGTGGTTGTCTGCTTGTCCAGTTCAGCACTCTGTGTATGCACAGGCTGCAGCCTATGTGTTTTGCAGATTTCCCCACCTGTTCCGCTTTGTTGTCCCTCCTCTCTCAACCATTAAAAAGAAAATATAATTTTCCACTTGGAGGACAGTTTTGAGAACAAAATCAGAGGTGTGCTAAGATGCTGCAGGGATGAGACCTTTGCAAGCCACTAAGTAGCTACATAAGCAGAGACATGTGGCAGCGGTTGGAGAAATCAAGCTGGTATTTAATTGCTGATATTATGTGATGTTGCTCATAGATGAGATAGATATAAACACTAAATACTCTTGTTTGGCTGAAGCAATTCATTCCATTTCGTTCTCTCTGATTCAGGAGAACTGAGCCTTGAAATAATGTGTCTGTCTGTCTGTACTGTTGACGCTTGCTGAAAAGAATTTGTCGGACTGTGTGTGTTTGGGCTCTTTGCTGAGCTCCTGGAATGACTCCTTTCATTCACTAAATGTAGGCTTGTTTTGGTGCTAAGTGACACAAGTTAGCAGTGGAAATTGCACCCAGAGACTTAGCCTCTGATGGCAGTCAGGACTTTGACCAACTTTTTCCAGCGAGTAAGATGCTGTGCAGCCCACCAGTGGGGTCTTGAACTTGGGACTATGTGGGATGAACAGCATCAAATTCAGACATCAAAGAGCTGACTTCTGACTTGTGGGGGAGGAGAAGGAGGGAGAGCTAAAAGAAGAACTAGAAGTTATTCCAGTTAATAGGAGTTAATTTCCAACATTAAACTGTGGGGTTGTTGGCAGACCAGAGGGGTTTGGATGGCCTTGCTGGATTTTTTACGATCTGTTTGTGTCTTGGAGATTGTATTATCATTCCTGTGTTAAGTACATTTACAAATCAGAAAACTTCACCGTTTATGAATGTGCTGAAACTATGTGAAAGACAACACTCAGGTTTAAAAGGCATTAGTTGTTATTTGTATTTTGCATATTATCTGTGTACAGAACTATATGTATGTGTTTCCTTGTTCAGGCTTGGGACTCCGTCCCACAGTGATACGGGATGTCTGACACTTCCTGACAGACATGCTCAAGCCCTGGCTCAGTAAAGGAGCCCCTGTCACCGGACACAGCAGCTCAGGTCTTAATCCCAGCTTTATCCTGACCCAGTGTTCACTCCACAAAATGTTCATGTCTGCTGTAGAACTGGATATCACAAAATGAACTGGAAATCAGGCAAACTGAGATTTAAAAGCAGAACTCTGGGCCATGTCCAAAAAACGGGCTGCTGAGCCAAGTACTGATGCTCTGTTGAACCCCTCAGTAGAGAGTAACCGTAACACAAGCTGTCCATAACTGCCCTTTATTTTAACTGAATTGCTCTTTCATGCTCGTGATTCCTCAAGATGCTTTTTCCCCAAAGAGCAATCACTTGTACCGTGCTAAAGGTTATTTTTTCCTCCTGAAACCAAACTGCACAGTTAGGGGACTTACATATACCACACATGAAATCGATTTTCTTATTTTCTTCTTTGCCATGTGGTGATAGGTAATATTTCTATATGTGCCCCCAGAAAAGTGTCTTGTTGTTTAATCTGTGTGCAGTTGTATATTTCATTTTATGCCCCTAACATTATCTTTTCTCTTGCTGCTTAATGTCTACTCTCCTAAATTTCACTTGGTGCAAGAATTCTGATTTTAAGATCATGCAACTGAAAACCTCTTGATATAGTGCAAAGGATACAAAATATGGGACAGTAGCCTCAGATAAGATGAGCTCGATTGTTTAGATATTGGATAATATCTGCAGATAACAACATTTGTTATGTAAAGTAATCATGATGTCAGTTCTTAGTAAACTAGACTCTTCTGAAAATGAATTTTAAATTTATCTTTCCACTTTGGTGTCAGTAAAAGACATTTTGTGGCTTTATAAAGGAATCTGTTTGACATTTGCACTGCGAAAGGTACTCTTGGTGTAGGAGAGAATGTATACAGAGCTTGATCTCAGCCAACAAGGCAATCTAAGAGAATGAAACCATCCTCTGCAGCAGTAGCTCTGATCCAGCCACCCATACGCCTCCCTGAGGGATGCTTCCATAGCACTCCTCTCCTCCTTCAGTCCTCTGTCTGTGCCCTAATGAGCAAATGTCTTCCCCAGCTTCTTTTTAAGGCATCATTTTTTTTAAGGCATTTCCTACTTGCAAATCCATGCGCCCTGTGCTCTGAAGGAGGCCATTTGCCCGCCTGTTCCATTGGTGCGCTGTTTGGGTTGGATGGCACAATACAGCTGGGGCCCTTGGGCTGTCCTCTCCCAGCCTCCTGCCTGCTGGTGAGTTACTGACACTGCTGTAGCTACAAATCCAAAACGCAGCACCCTGCGTGTGACAGCAGTCTCCTCCATCCCAGCTAGGTACCATACAGTACAAAATCTGTATTTGCTCTTTGTTTTCTGTACTTATACTTGTTCTTTGTTTGTTGTTTGTAGTGAGGGTTTATCTCAGTGTGAAAATTTGAAGGTTGAGTACAGATGTTGGTATGATAATCCTCTGAAACACATTACTTTTCTGTTTTAAGTATGTGAGTGTCCAGAGCTGCTAGAGGATTGGGAGGAGCAGGGACTTGGCATGTCACTGATCCACGGCTTTGGCTGCAGTAGTGAAGTACGCTTTTATCTCAGTCGAGATGTAATTTCCTATTTTGAATTCTATTTCAAACTCTTTTGTCCTGGGAATCCTGGTAGTGGTTTTTGCTTTGGAGAAGGGAATGCTGTGAGAAGATCGGGTACTTCCATCGCTGTTATTTCTCTGTAGTACTTAGTATTGTGTGGCAAATGATGCAATGCTGCTGCTTTGTCTGTTGCTGTCTCAGGGCTCTCAGGTTTTGGCACATCCGTGGCCATGTTTACTGTGACTTTGCTTTTTTGCTGGGTAATATTTGATTGTCACAAAACTACTTTCCATTTTGAAGGAAGCTTCATGTCACAGGGAGGGCTGATGTGACACACTGCAGCACATACCCCAACGTTTGGATTTATTTTAGAAGATCTCTAAATTTAAGTGATTTACCCACTTTCTGTCTGCCCAGCTTCTCAGCTGACTGTAATTCTGGTGTGTGGCTTTTCAGCCACAAATCTCTTTTGATCCTCTTTGCAATATTCTAATGCCTCATGCTCAGTTAATCTCCTTGCCATGCTGCAAGCCTGCATTGTGTTACTGGGCTCAGAAGTGGAGCAAATGAGAAAAAAAAGTCTTGCATATAAATCAGGACTGTGTCTCTGGCTGGTACACTGCCTTATTAGCAAAAAAAACATACTAATATTTGGTATTTTCTGTTTCCCTGCTTTGTTTTCTAGCAGAGGCTGCAGGGTGAGGATGGTGTGCGCTTGCAGGGTACGTGCCTGACTGTACTGGACTGCACAGGCTGCCTCCAAACACACCGAGCTGCAGGGCAATGGAAGGCTGGCACCAAGCATCCCACCACCTCTCATGACAACCGATGGTCAGGCTCAGAGCTGCTGCAAACGTCACCTCCTGCTTCATGCAGACACAAAGGCAAAAGGTATTGCTGCCTTTTTCCCTCGGCTCCTAGGGTGTGTTTATCACTGTGCTTTTGGTTTTCCTTCATGGTGAATGTGATGTTTGAGCACTTGGCATCTACATACACCGCTGACAGAGTCAGCATTTAGAAAGTGTTCTTAAAAATAAGGGAGAAGATGCCTCTGCATTGCCGTGGCACCAAGATGGAGGCTGGTGTTTGAGACAGTTGACTTCTCTGGTCAGGGACTGTCACCAACGACTCTCTGTTAATTGAAGTGCTTGACAACTTTCCATTGGAAGAAGTTTCCCCCTTTCAAACATGTTGCCATTTTGAACGAGAATTAATTCACAGAATTATTTTGAAAACTATTTTGGCTTCTTCTGAGTTCTTCAAAAGCCTTTGCTCTGCCTTTCCTTAAGGGCATGTGCCCCTAAGCTGCCTTTGCAATCCAGAGAGCCCCAAGCAGCCAGCACTGTGTTCCCCATGGCAAACAGCTACAGGAGCATCAGGGAACCATTAGGTTTTTATGATGTTATAGTCTCAGAGAGAGTCCAATACAATGAAACTACTTGGTATGTGACACAAGACATAAAAATAGTCTTGAATTGTCAGTAATTTTTTTCTCTTGAAAACATTCTTTCCTTTAGTGGTGTGTGGTTGTGTCTGGAGCACACAGTGCTTATTGAATGAGGTTTTACATTACAAAAGCATCCCAACCTGCCAAGCTCCTATTTCTGGAAATAGGAGAAATGCTAACGGCAATGAATCTCTGCCTTCCTCTTGTAGTTTTTATGTCCTGTGTGTAAAAGGCTGCTTGGTCCCATCCTTCAGTCCTAAAGTCTTTTCCCTTAGGCCAGCTTTTACCTCAGCATCTGTTAGCTGTGACAAAAGCACTACCAAAGATAGAACCTAAGTCAGATAGCTGTGCTTTTCAGTTCTTAGCAGTCATCTTATCAGTGGTTGTTACTAAAACATATATAAAAATATAAATCATACTATGCCTCCATCATATAAAAATGATGGAGGCAAGGTTTGTTTCAGGCAGGCCTTGGTTTCTGACTGAAAGGGAGGGAAGAGGGGAGAGGGAAGCAGTCTCAGGCCTTACATAGCAGAAAAGAGAGGACAAAAGCATCAATATGCTCTAACTTAATGGTTTTTGTTAACTTTTTCATCCCTGTTCCTCCCTACAACACCGGCTTGTCTTCTAAATGTGGGATTTTCAATAGTATTTAAATGAGATGTGGTATGACATAATTTATTGAAAATACTATGGGTTTTCTCAAGCAACCAATACTCAAGTTGTGAATTAACTTTTGTTTGAAACATTCCTAAGCTGATCTAGACAGATTTCCCAGATCTTATCTCAATTTGCAGATGAGCAGCCAGCACATGTTGAAACAAAAGTTTCTATGAGCTGTCGCCTTCAATTGACTGAAACCTGTGCTGCATGGAGACGTGTAACTGTTCTAACACCCATTCTGCGTTCTGGTTATCGTACCCCGTACCCCGCAGCTCAGGGCAGGCAGGCAGGCCGTGCCGGGTGGGAGCTTTGGCCACTGGGGGTTGCGGTCGCTGCCTGTGTGAGCTCTTCAGAATCTCCGCGTTCAGACCACGCACCTGTTTCCAACCCGTCGGGTCGGTGCGTGGCTGCGGGCACAGATGGAGTTGGGGGGAGGGGGGGCACCGTGTGGCTGTGGGCCGGTTGGAGGGAGCTGCCGGCTCCCCAGGTCCTTCAGCGCTGTCTTAATACAGCCCCGTTTAACGCAGCTTACGTACTCGGGTTAAAAACATAGGGAGAAACAGAGAGGGCGTGAAGCGGTAGAGCCCACGGGCCGAGCTGGGGGCTGCGTGCGGTCATACCCGGCTCTCCCCAGCCCGCGCATCCCTACCGGGCCCGGCCGCGCACGGACGCCGCGTTCCCCCGCGCTCATCCCGAGCCGGAGGCGGGGAGGTGCCCGCACCCACCGAGGGGCGGGGCCGCGCCGCCGCCTCCCTGCCCGCCGCCCGCCGGCAGGTGGCCGCGGGGCGCTCCCTGCGCCCGTGGGGTGTGCGCGGGGCGGACCGGCGCCGAGCTGCGGGCGGGTCCCGGAGCGCCGCGGGGCGCTGAGAGCGGGGCCGGGGGGGAGCGCTGAGCCCCTGCGGAGGGAGCCGGGACGGGCGGCGGCGGGGCGAGGGCTGCCGGAGCCGCGAGGTTCGCCCCCAGCGGCCGGGGAGGGCTGCCCCGATCCAGCGCCCGGCGGGGTGCGGCTGTGCCCGGTAAGCCGCGCCGGGAATCGCGGGGAGCTGAGCGGCAGCTCGTGCTTCCTCGCTGTTCGGGAGGTGGGAGTCGGAATCGGGTTTCTAAATATAGTAATAAAAAGCGGAAACTATAGAGATTGGTATCGCTCCGTTAACGAAGCGGCGTTCCGAGCCTGTGGCCGCTCCGACCACCTCGCTGCGATCCCCCGCCTCGCCGGCGGCTCTTCTTCGAGCCGGCCCTGCCCTGCCCTGCTCTGCCTTGCCGCCAGGTGCGGGAGGGCTACGGGGAATGCCACGGCGGCGGGGTATGCGGCCGCGCCCCGCCCTGCCGGCCGCCTGCTCGGCTCCTCGCTGCTGGGGCTGCGGGCGCGGGGCTGCGTCGCCTCGTGCCGCGCTGCGTGGGATCGGAAAGCGGCCCTTCTGTTGAGCTCACCCCACGGCAGCCTGGTGTTGCCGCAGGTACCTGACGGCGGCCCCCTCCTCGGGCCCCCCGGGCCTTGCCCTTCCCGCAGGGCTCTTGGCGAGCGCCCCACGCGTGTCCTCCTGGTGTCTCCACCGGCTCTGGGGCGGCAGCTGACGCGTATGGGGTTTTGCCGACGCTCGCGGTGCTCTGGGCTTTGTTGAGAGGGGACTCGAACATGCTTTCCTTTGCACGCTGCTCGAGGAAACAGCTCTACACCCGTGCTGAAAACGTAACACCCATTTACTGCGTCGTGTCTCCATTCGCCCGTTTGAGCATCATTTGGCACTCGGGTCTGGGTTCTTGAGGAGTTCCAGATCTCCGCAGCCATCGGCTACTCTCTCCCCTGAAGGAGGCGCCCCTCTGTGACTCCGGCAGTTGGGTTCCCGCAGCTTTGGCCAGGCTTCCTGCAAGCGGGACTCCTGGGAAGCCCAGTAGCTTTAGGTTCTTCCTGCCGTTTCTTCTGTAGCTGCTTGGGCAAGCAGCGACATTAAGCGAGCCTGTAAGAAGCTTTCAACGTCTTCCTCACCTCACCTTCAGGCTGTCTCCCAGCTGAACCCAACCCGCTGCTGTGCTATGGCAAGTGAGCCATTCAGGACAGAGCTACCATGCACACAGCACTCCATACCTCCAACGACGCTGGATGAAACCTCACTTTGTGGCTGCCGAGAGCTGCACTTGCTGCCTGACTATTGTTTTCTGAATTACTGCTATTTTGACCAAAAGGTTCCTTCCTTTGCCTCTGCTAGCTCCATCAGCCATCCTCGTACTGAAAAGCCGTTTAGGATAAGCTGATGGTCACGCCTGGCTCTCAGAAGGGAGATAGGAAGGAAAGCGCTCCCCCAGCCTGCACTGTCGCCCCATTCAGCTGCAGACCGGCTTAGACGCCTGCTGAAGTTAATCAGTTCCAGCCACAGTAGGGGGGAAGGCTTTGAAATTCCAGCGAGTACCGTAAGAGAGATAAGGAGAAAACTTTCACTGCCATGCTAATCCTGCTCAGCAGCGGCTTGTCTCCAGCATCCAGCCCTTCCTAACCTGCAGCGCTTATCTCCTCCAGCAGCAAGCACCGCGAGGGAGGAGGGCAGAATATAAGCGAGCATCACATCTCGTGTCCCAGAGCATGAGGTCCTGCCTTGCTGGGCGGAGGAAAGCAGGCTGGGTGCACCCTGTCTCGTTGCTGGATCTCATGGAGGACCTGAACTTTGCTGCCATGAGATGCAGCACGGAAGTCTGGCTGCCCAGGTGCTGCAGGTTTGCCTCCTGGGTGAGCTTTGCTCAGCTCACCCCGTGGTCTGGGCAGCATGCTCTGCTGTGCTTCTTCCTGAGTTTGGGAAAAGGCACTCAGCTGGAAATAGAGGGTGATTTGGTTCCCTTTGTATTTAATGTTTCAGTTCTCTTTAGAAGGAGTAAAACAATTGCATGCCATTTTTTGGAAGGTTGAGAACTTCTGCTAAGCGTAGCTGTGCATCCAGCTGGTATGCGTAAGCAGTTGTTGGATGTCTGCAGTGTGTGCTTTTGGGTAGTTCTAGAAGTCCCATTGCTATTTTTTTTTTTTGTTGGTCACAGGGAGAACTTGTGTTGAACACTTCCCAGCATTTCTATCCCTATTCTGCAACATTTATAATAAACATTAAACTTCCCTTTTTTTCCCATCAGCACAGAAAACTGTGCGGCTGCTATGTCTGAACTATCCAAGGAAGCAAGAGATGCCTGCTGGGCTTTGTTACAGCAGGGTACTACAGTTGCCCTGCTAAAAGCACTGTGATGATCTGACCATTGTCCCTCTATGCTTGGTGATAGAGGCCTGGCTCCTTGCAGAAACACAGAGAGGGGGAGAGAGAAGAGGGCTGTAAGCTCAGCAGCAGGCAGGGCACTGGGTGCCTGGCACAGCCCCATCCTGCACCCTGCCCGACCTGTCCTTGGGGATGGGAGCCACCCACCCGCAGTGGCCCTGGGGTTGGGAACCGGGCATAAATTCTTGCAGCCTGCCATTAAGTCTGATGTCTGAAGTGCTGCGTCATCCTTCTGCCTTTGAGAAAGTCAAACGCTGTGGGTGAACAGGCGAGCAGAGTTCTGCAGGGCCAGCACTGAGGGATTCCTTTAACTCTGTGGTACTACAGAACTTTGACTTTGTAAGTGCAGTGTCTTATGTCTGGATTCTTTTTGCAGAGTCCCAGTCGTGAAGCAATCTGTGCTGTGCTAGGGACGAGGGGGATGCTTTGTTCAGAGCAGCCAGGTCCTTGGTAAGTAGCACACAGAGCTTCCTTCCTCATGGGTGCTGGAGAAAGATCTAAGAGCCTCCCTGATACAGGGCGTCACATAGGGACACTGGGAAGTGAGGAGCCCAGTTCTCTGGCAGCAGAAATCTCTCACTGTGCTCAACTGGGTGCAGCTACGCCCAGCTGTTTCCGAAAGTAGGACTTATTTTTAATCAGCTGACTGATAAAACAGCATTGGAGAGGGTGATTCCTTGCAGTGTAGCACTGCTCTTCAGGGAGATATTTCAGAGGTCCAACCAAAGGGAAACCACGTACACAGGAGATGGGACTTATTTGCCTGTGACAGCTTGAGCTGCTGCAAGCCACAAAACCTTCCTTTTATGTCTCTCTTCATTGTATGAAGGGAGGTTAACAAAACTCTTAGTGGTGGATGGCTTATGCTTATCTTTTTGTGATTACTTCTGATTGAAGTTTTCAATAATGGAACATTTTTATCAAAATAAAACTGTGTATATACTATTAATGTTTTTCCCTCGTTGTATGGTATGATAGGAAATGGCAGGCATCTTTCTAACATTGTTTTCTTTCCTTCAGTGATTAGAAATGAGCTCGATTTGGCAGGAAGCACTGAGGAAGGCTGGCAGAGAGGCAGCGTGGTCCTTGCATGCGAGGTGAGTTCAACTGCACAGCATGGCTCCTGCAGGACTTTCCCTCTTTGTATTACCGCAGTGTGTGAGCGTGTAGGAGCTTATGGGAAACAACACCTGAGCTTGTACTTGAGATTCCAGGGCTGTGTCCTCAAGACCCTTTTAAAAACCACACGTGGCATTTGCAGTATTGAAGTTAAACATGAGGTATTTAAGGCCTTACTGAGCATAGCTTCACTGAAATTTAGCACAGCGTGCAACCCGTTAGTTTAGTTTGTCTGAAAAATGCATTTCACTTATTATAAAACTGATCCTTAAGAAGAGAATCTTTGTTAAGATTTGCAGCAGTGCTGCTTTAACTCCTGGATAACTACAACAAAACAGGCTGCAGCACACTAACTTCTGCCTCGAGCTAAGCACAAGAGCTGGTCAGTAAGGTAAGCAGCTGTATCCACAGAGGTTTTGGCCTGAGCCTGGAACCTTCCCTGCAGTGCTTTCTGAAACACAGCCAGCCACAGGCAAGAGCTTGGGTGCTGAAACAGACTCCGGTCAGCTGGCTTTGCCTTGTGCAGTTCCTGAGTGCACCGTCGTGCCAGCAGTAACGTGAACTCACCTCTCCCAAAGATGTGTGCTTTGTGAGGCAGCCAGCCGCGTTAAAATCCCTATCAGAACAACGCTGGAAATGAGATAGGCAGAGAGGATTTAAACAGTGCTTTATCCTACATGCGCAAGCAGTGGCTGTCAGAAAAATGGGAAATCAGTCAGAAGATGGAGGACAACTTCATTTACAAGCATTTATGTGCCAACAATTATTAACTAGAGTAGAGCAGGCAAACAGTAAAACCTACTGCGCTGACTTAGGAAGTACTGCGCTCCATGAATAATGAAACAAGCAGGAGTACACGATTGAAACCAGGGTCAATAACTTTGCTTTTAAGCCTAACTAGTAATCAATAGGAAACAATTTCGTTGTCTTGCATGTCTTGCTGTTTCCTAGCCTGCTCCTTTCTCCATGTTAGACAGTCACACCCATATCTGAGTTAGCCCCAATTAAACGGCAGAGGTAAGAAGGTGGGAAGTCCTCGAGAAGAAGATCCTGGCCTACAGAATCCCTCCATATCTGCTTTAGGAAATGCTTGTCCTTCTACTCACATTCCCTCCATCTTCTGCCTGGCCCTAACTCATTTGCTGGAGTAGCTTAAAAAGGGGAAAGGAAATCTCCAGCTGTAGGGCCGACACACCTTAACACCAGGATAAAGTACAAGAAGTGGTTGATATTTAACAGACCTTCTCTAAAGAGCACCAAAAAAAGGATTACATAGAAAAGAATTGGATTATAACCATAGATAAAAAGCCAAATTCAGATAGTCATTAGACAAAATGTGAGAGATTAAAGGGTCAAAAATATGCTAATATATCACCATTGGCATAGAGTATTTGGACAGCACTCCAACCATGGTGAGGGGAAGCTGAGGTTTAAATTTATAGTATTTATGGTTCTGACTAAGTGTCAGAACTTAGGGGTGTCATGAGACCTGATCTGAAACTTCTGACTGTCACCAGCAGAGTATAATGAGAAGGGATTAGGCAGGGTATCTGTGCACTGTGGGAGAAGCCTCTGTATTCCTTGGCCTGGATAAAGGTTGCAGCTCACGGATCAGCAGTGCTGTCTAGTGATTCTTTACCAGATGAGATGCTCTGAGCTCTGTAGAGTTTGAGAACTGCAAGTGGAAATTATTTTATTTATGTTTTATTAATGATAAATATTGAAATTAGGAAGGTATGAGACAAAACTATTTAGAAGTTTTGAATTATTCAGAGTCTGAATGGCTTTCAGACATCTCCTTGGCCTCTGGTCTGTAAGCACGTTCTGCCAGCATTATAAGTTTTGCATCAATGCACGTGGCTGAATGACATGGGTATGAGCCTCGTGGATTTTCATAAACCTCTGCAGGAATATATATTCAGTTTCTTGTGCATCCTTTCTTTTACTCATTTAATAACAGGTTCTCACAATATAAACCTCAATGACAGTTTAACTATCTTCTGTGTTGGGTCAAACTAGCAATGCTGGAGGCAGGGTCTATGTCACAGGCCTGATGGCTACATTGCTTAGTCTTAAAGCACACTGGCACCTGCTGCATCATGTCATTATGGTCAAAATAAACACTGCATTGATTTAAGTGGTTTACAGATGTTTCTTTAAAATGCTGAGAGGTTCTGATACCAAGTGAAAGGTATGAAAATGTTTTGTGGCTTCAGAAGCCCCACAGGTCTGACTTTCCTCCAGGAGCACCAACCACCACTGTGGTGCCTGGGGCTGCCAGTCACAGCTGCCTTTAGAGGTAGGGCCATTCTCACGCATGTCCTATCCTGCAGGAGGACAGAAGCTTGTCACCATGAGCCTGACTCACACATGCCAGCTGCTGGGCTGGGGCAGTGCTGTCCTACCCGTGGGCCTTGAACAGAGAAGGCTCCATCTCCAGAGGTACTCAAGGCCAGGTTGGATGGGGCCCTGGATGAGCAGCCAGATCTGATGATTAGCATCCCTGCCCATGACAGAGGGTTGGAGCTACATGATCTTTGAGGCTTCTTCCAACCTAAGCCATTTTGTGGTCACCTGCCTGCAAATGGGATTTCCTCTCTCAGTATTTGCCTGGCATCACATTACTGGATTGGAGCCCCTGTTTCCCTCAATATATAAGGGAAATAAACAAAGCTTAATATCTTTGCCATAACTATGTTTTCAAAGGCTATTTACAAAAAAATGTTTAACTTTGGCTGACCTCAGTACGACGTCATTGGGTGAAAGCATAGGGAACAGTTGGTTTCTGTGCAGCACAGTCTTTATTTTGGCTGGCAGTCTACTAACTCTGGGGAGTGGTAAGCTCATGCCAAGCAACGTCAGGCGGATCGTACAGTTCTGCTGTGCCCCTCTAGAGCAAAGAGCCTGAGAAACTGCTCTGTAGGTTAGTAACAAAGCTGCATGTAGCGGAATGTGGGGCTCAGCAGTTCACATTCTCAATCAGTTTGACTAAAGGGCCCGCTCAGGTGTGGGGAAAAAGGTAGAGTTTTCTGCTGGCACGTTCTTGTGAAGCAGACCTGGAGGTCATGTCAGCGTGTGCTTCTTAGGGCGCTTGTTCTGGCAAGGTGAGCAGATCTGGCATTTATGTAACTCGAGTCCTGTCAGGTGATGGTTACCTGCTGCTTTTGTCTGTGTGAGGCTCTTCTTTGTTTTACTTTCTTAGCAGCAGCAGCAGTCACTGCAGTTTAAATGGTATTTGTGTACAGACTGAGGAGAGCAGCACTGTCTCATCTGTTTGGAAGAAACAGATGTTATTCCCGGGACCTGTACGGTTATATTGCAAACAGACTCTTATAGATGGCTTACAGCTCTTGTCTCTCCCCGGGGACTGCATTCCAGGGAAGCTTGAATTCAAGTTGGACTCTGCCTGATGACTGTAGTAGATGGGTGTTACTGATAAAACACAGTTTAGGTGCACCGTGCACAGATTTATTGGAGTTGGTTTTACAGCTTCTGCAACCAGTTTAGCTCCCCTTTGAGCTCACTGAGAATGGTGAACTATTTACTGCATTTCTGTGAAACACTGTTTTGACAGATTTCTCCAGAAGTAAAGAAGCACTGGTGGAGACAGTGCAACCCCTGGCAAGAAGCAGCAACGCTGTGCAACAAAGGAAGGAGCCACTTCCAGGCTGTGAAAACATGCTGTTGAACTGAATTTTGCAGCTGGGTTTTCAAATGTACCATGGGATGCATCAAGTCCAAAGATGCCTTTGCGGGATCAAACGCTATCCGTGTGGAAGGGAGCGCGGAAGGTGAAGAAGGGTGCAGCGGGGAGAAATCGTCACTGATAGCAGGGATGGTGGATGAGAAAGGTCCATCGAGCGCCATAGTGCTGGACTACGCACACCGCCTCTCCCATGAGATTGTCGATCAGGCAGTGAAGCAGTGGGCAGTGACAGAGAGCAAATACAGCGACATCCCTTTCATTGAGAGCGATGTGCCCTGAGCCTGGTCTGGCTTCAGCGAGCGTCTGTCTGCCAGCAGCTGGTGTTTGGTGCTGGTGCAAGTTGAGTGAAGTCAGCTGTGATCGAGCAGAGTGCTCCTCTGAATGTGTTTGCAAGGAGATGCTGGAAAATATTGCCTTTGGATCTATATTGCTAAGAAACCCTGTGGAATACAGTAGAACCTATTAATCAAGTGTTGTTCGTTATCAGCCGTATGATGAGTGTTGTCTGTCTTTGTATGTGTTGAGTGATCAGAAATCAGTGTTAAAAAAGAAAATGGGAAGAATGCAACTGCCTTGCAACTGTAGGAGCGCTGCCGCAGGGGCCCCAGAGATGCTCAAGAACAAAGCATGGATTATATTTATGTACTGCATAAAAAATACATGGCCTGTTTGCAGGCGACGAGAATGGTATGCTTGGCAAACTTGTCTGTGTTCTGCGGAAGCGAAAGCAGGACCTCTATGTAGCAAAGGCAGCTGCTGTTGTAACCTTCACTTTGATTCTCTGACCCAAGCAGGCCTACAAACCACAAAATGACGAAGGCGGTGAGAAGCGTTTATAAAACCAAATAGTATTCAGGGAACCATATGGATTATGATCCTATTCAACTTCCACTCTTAACAGAACCGATGAGAAACATTACGGTATTGATGAATAGCGCATTGTAATTAAGTTAACAGATGCTCTGGCTTTTGCAAATGCATGAAGGCTGCTCTCTAAAATGTTGCAGTAAGAGTTTAATTACATCTAATTGCTGCGTTCAGGCCAAAGCTGTTTGCTTTGCTTTTTTTTTATTTTTCCTTTTTTTTTTTTGGTCGGGGGCTGCATTGATTTCATGGGTCTACGGCTGCATTGCACTGAGCTTGCAATCCAGCATCACGCCCTCAGAACTGCTGGCCTTTGCCCTCCTTCTGCTCCCGCAGGCTGAGCACATCCCCACGGGTAGAGCCATGTGCACTCAGGCACAGCTGAGCTGTGGGAGCCTCAGGCCTGAGCAGAACACAGCGCTGTGAGTGAGCCTGGGCCCTAGGCTAGCGGGCTGCTGCATTCGTCAGCAGTGCTGCAGAACTCACAGCCCCACTGTTCTGTGGGGCCTGGGGCCTGACCTCCATTGCTCTCTGGGGTTGGGAGGAGGAAGCAAACTGATCTCCTACCGCTCTGCTGCCGTCGTAGGCAAAGTGAATGCCTCGTAGGAAGCTTGTGGTTTTTTAGCGCCCATTTGCTCCTTCTTCTGTTAAGGCCAGTGTATCAGCCATGTCATTTTTTCCTGCATCCAAGTGCTTTCCATTTCATGTTTTCATTTTGCAGAAGGAAACTGCTTTCCATACTGGCAAACACGGCTGCTATTTTTAAAAGGTACACACAGTCCTCGTGACTGATACGAGTATGACTCTGAAGCAATGGTAAGCAGCAGAAAGAGGACCATTCCAGTGCTTTCAGCTTACTCTCACACGAGAATTGAGAGAGAGCTCGGCTGTTTTGCAAACTTTCTGACACGAACTGAATCACTTGAGGGAAGTGTGTCCAGAAGGAATGGTCAGAAGAACTTCTTGGTAGCTCAGCACACGGCTGCTGCTGACTCGCACTGGCCAGGCTGGGCCCGGCCACTGGGCTGTCCACGTGCCAGAGGTGGCAGTGACTGGAAAGGCCGTGCTGCTGTGCTGACAGGCCTAATGCTAAGTGGGTACCTAAATGGAATTCCATCTGTCTGCTTACCTTTAGATGGAACTATTCTGCAGTCTTCAAAAGCCACTCTTAGTGCAAAGTTGCCACCAATTCTTCGATTTAGCATTCTAAGGGCACTCTGGCAGGGGACTGGTGTGCTCTGAAATACACACATCCTTCTGTTTGGGAGTTCAGCCTGTGTGCTTTGTGTTTTCTCTGTGGAACACACGCAGGGTCTGAGTGGGTAGTGTGTGACTGACAACCTCCTAGGAATGGTTTGGAGCACGCTAACTGCAGCACAACTTTGTACCACTGACCTTTCTGTAGTACAACACATCCGTATTCTCAAATAAAACATACTACAATATATTTTTACAATATTTTTTGTGGAAAATATTTTCTTGTGGACCAAATAAAATTAAAGTGACCATCTGTTTATATGACTTTTATTTGGTAAAAAGGCACAAGTTAGAGGGTCTCGTTATTGCGAGCTGCAGGTGATTCACACCAAGTTCAGAAGCTCACAGACATGCACATCACTGTTCCTGGCTCAGCAGCAGCTAAAATACTGCAGGTGCCTCTCAGGCACAGAAGGGACAATCCCTGCATCACGGGGATCGCTGTGTTGTGCCGTGAATGCAGCAGCTGACAGCTGTAGTGTTTGTACAGGAATAATGGAATGGACCAGTTCTTTCTGAAATGAAGAATAGCTGTTGTTGAAGGACCTAGAACACAATTTTAAAACAAGAGGAAGGTCTGCATTTCTTACAGCACCAGTAAGTGAGGAATATGAGTCATATTTTAGAAGTTATCCGGAAGGTGTTAACAAAGCCTCTCAGTCACTTTTAATAATAAACCCAGGGTCTCTCTTGTAAAAACGTTCAGAGTTAATGTTACATGGCAGCTGAAAAGTTCCTAATTTTACTTTCCAGGTTCTAGTGACAAAGCAAAGTGCCATTTTTCTTCATTTTGCTCACCTTTAATTCTCTGAAAGTCAATTTAGCAGTTCACCTTGATGCTTGAATTTCCTGAACTTTGTTTCCAGGCAACAGCATTAGGAAGGAAAGAGCCCTCAGCCAGCACTCACCAATGCTGCTGGTAACAGAAGCTGCCAAACGCTGGGAGCTCTGTAACCATTCCATGGCTCTGATTTTAATTCCCAGTGCTGACGACTGATGGTATTGAGCAGAAGTGTTCTTTCCTTAATGTCAGTGGTTCCTCTTCCCAAACTGTGTATTTGTAACCTGTCTCCAACTGTGGAAACAAGTCAGAAGAGGTACTGACGTACAATTTGCTTGAGTATATAAAAGTGTGCAGCCTTCATACCGAACAAAGATCTGTAGCTGTGCTTTGCATGCACAATAGAAAAACAAGTCTTGCCCCCTCCCTAGAGTTGGTAGTAGTATCAAGGGGCTCTGGTTGTATCACAGAACTTTAAATACTGTTAGCAACAGAATTCAGTGACCTTTAATGAACACTGGGTGTTTTTTTGATGAATGTTTAAATGCTGATCCCCACAGACACACTTGTGAGGATTTGTTGTGTAAAAGAACTTCAGAGTCTGTGTAGCAGCAGGCATTCTGTTTGCCACTGTTCTGTATCACCAGTACATCCTGCTGCATTCCTCCTACCTGTCCCAAGTTTCCCACCCAGCAGTCAGGGATGGCTCCAGCTCAGGATGCTGCTGGGCACAAGGAGAAATGAAGCCAGCCGGCGTGGTGCAGCCACACTGCAGCCACGTGAGCATCAGGGCCGTTGCCTTTGGAATCACTGGACCACCAGCAGCCAACGTGCTCCTTGGCAGGCAGAGGAGGCTGGAGACAGTGACTTCTTTGCCACTGGGAGAGCAGGAAAAGCTCCAACAATGCTTGAAATCGTGAGAAGCTCATTATGCAATTCAATCAATGGCATTTTTACAAAATAGATTTTAGAAGAGGAAAGAAATGTGCTCGAGGCTCTGACACTATTATGACATTTGAAACAACGTCTGCATCACGTGGCAATGTTGTACACAGACCAAATGTTAGATCAATAGAATAATTCCTTGCTCTCAGACTAATAATCATACGTCAGTCTGACCTTTGATTTAAAAGACCACTTAACACCATGAAATTAGCATGTCTGGCGTTTAACTTCATAGCTCTGACTGTTTTAATGTTTGAGTATATCTTAATTTCATTGCAAACAGAAGAATCAGAGGCCCAATCCTGCTTCAACAGCCCAGCAACAGAGCCACGAATACCATGGGCTCCTCAGCTCCTGCTCTGCAGCCCATCCCTGAGCCGTGCTGTCTCCCCGCAAGATTCCCCTCAATGGCTGAGGCCCAAAGCTGAACATTAATCATTGTCTAACAGCAGTCAGAATAACTATTTGCCTTCAAGTCATTTTTCCCCTTATTAACCAGAGATGTAATCACGTTGTCGTTACAGCTGCATAACAAAAGAGAATGGTACTGAATGTGAAAAATAGTTACAAGTCAGGCTGGCTAAGAGCTTCGTCATACTTTGTCATGCTGTTCTTAGCTTTTATACCATAAAATGAAGCAAATGGGTAAGATGTCAACAGATGTGATCTCTACAGCTTGAGATCGTTGTTTCCCAGAGGCTTGAAACAATTGTCCACGAATTCATCGCTGACTTCTTCCAGAGCAGCAGGCTTCCAGCGGGGGGACTGGTCCTTGTCAATCAGCACTGCGGAGTGGGGAGACAAACACAGCAGTGAGATGAGTTCTGCTTGCACCCACATCTACAGAGATACACCAGAGAGAAATCAGTGTGCTTCTCAAAAGACAGAGCAGTTGGAATGCACCCTTCTACTCTACTGAGTTGTCACCTGTGCAGGGGGGGAGCCGAGGGCCACAAGGAGTGCTGGACCACCCCAGAAGAATCGCTCCAATACTGTTAGGATTTCCAGTGCCAAACTGGACTCTTTGTAGAGAACAGGAGATTCCTCTGGCTAATTAATGATCAGATAAACTGATCACTGACATAATCAGTGAGGAAGTAGCACAGCACAGTATCACTGTGGGAAATTCAGGAGTATTTATTTGTGAATACTGACAGTGCTGCAGAG